CTACAGTTGCAGCTCTCAGCATTCTCCCATGGGTCTTTGATTTGAAAGGTATCATGATGAGCTTGGTCAGCGGTTGAATCTATTAATCTTATTTAAATATAAAGGGCGATTAGCCTAGATGGAAAACAAGTGGCCACCCGGGATGTTGGGATTTGGGGCGGGTGGGGTGGGGTGTGTTTCTGTGGGTTGTAATGAACAAGGAACAGCAGATTGGACCTGGCGCCGGAAGCCAAGTCTTCTCGTTCTGTCCGATCCCGCGTTTCAATTCCACCCACTAGTTTCCCTCTTTGTCCCTCTTCTGCCCTCCAGAGTTTCGCCCCCTTTGAGCTGATCAAGTACAACGTGGAGGAGGATGAACCCGTACGTGACGAGCGAGGTCTCTGCATCCGAGTCCGCCCCGGTGAGAAGAGATGGGCCTTACGAGGGCTTTCTGGGGAGGAAAGGAGGGGAAGACAGAGGGTTGAGATGCATCAAAGCCACCTCTTGGCCCTTATCATCATCCTCTTAGTGGTTGGAAGCCACCAGAAACCCCTCCAAGAAACAGGAATGTCACCCCTGAGCACCTGGTGGGGCACGGAGGGGACGTTCCCCAGCGCCAAGGCAGTTGCTGACCAGCCTCCAACCCTCTTTTCCCTCTCCAAAGGTGAGACGGGGCTGCTGGTCATCAAAATCACCAAGAACACCCCTTTCCATGGCTACGCGGGCGATTCCCAGAAGACAGAGAGGAAGATCTTGAGGAATGTCTTGGTCAAAGGTGACACCTTCTTCAACAGCGGTGACCTCCTCATGATGGACCACGAAAGATTCGTCTACTTCCAGGACCGAGTGGGAGACACTTTCCGGTAACTCTGATGCTCCCACACCCACGTCTCCATGGCCAATGCCACCCACCAGCCCCAATCCCTCCTCATCCTTTATCTTCCGCAGTTGGAAAGGTGAAAATGTGGCCACGACAGAGGTGGAGGCCACTCTTGCCATGGTGAACTTCATCCAGGAAGTCAATGTCTACGGAGTGGCCGTGCCGGGTGAGTACTGGGTGGCGCGGGGGTGAGTCGGACTAAGGATCCGATGATGATTCAGTCATGTGATGTGTCCCCAGATGGTCTGGGCAGCCAATGAGAAGCCTAAAGTAGAGCAGAATGGAAGATGCCTACAATGACCCAACTGCCTGACCACTCAATGACCCAAAATAAGAGACTGGTGTTGTTTTGGGCTCAGGATTACTGCCCCAGTGGTCCAAACAGCCAATGAGAAGAGTAAAACAGAACCAAGTTGCCCAAAAGAAGGTTCTAGTTTTGTTTGGGGCACGTAACGTGTTCACATAATGGTCCAAGTGACCAGCACCAAGGCTAAAGAAAGACTTACTGACCCAAAATAAGCTTCTGGCAGGGACTGGGCACACAGTGGTCTCCTGTAAAGGCCTGAGTGGCCACCAAGATGGTTAAAGGGGGACTTGGTTGCCCAAACCAAGTGTCCAACTATGTTCTGGGCATGCAACATGCCCCTGCGATGGTCCAAGTAGCCACCAAGAAAAGTAAAATGGGACTTGGTTGCCCAAAGGAAGCATCTGGTGGTGTTTTGGGCACCTCATACGCCCGCATGATGGTCCAAGTGGCCACCAGGAAGAGTAAAAGGGGACTCAGTTGCCCAAAGCAAGCATCAGTTGCTGTTCTGGGCACACAGCGTGCCGCTGTAATGGTCCAAGTGGTCACAAAGGAGGCGAAAATGGGAAATGTTCGACTAAAATAAGCATCCAGCCTTGTTTTGGGTGTATGATGTGCCACTGTCATGGCCCCAGTGGCCACCAAGAAGGCTAAAGTGGGACACATCCACGCAAAGTAAGTGTCCAACATCGTTTCGGGCATGCGGCAGGCCCCCATAATGGGCCATGGGGCCACCAAGAAGAATAAAATGAGACTCGGTTGCCCAAACTAACCCCCCGGTGTTGCCCGCAGGGTGCGAGGGGAGGTGCGGCATGGCGGCCATCCGCCTGAAGGCCGGGGCGGGCTTCGATGGCGAGAGCCTCTATGCCTTCACGAGGGACACGCTGCCCAGCTACGCCGCCCCTCGCTTCGTGCGGATCCAGGTCAGTGGTCCCAGCTTCACCCCAGCGTCGGGGTGGCTTTTCGTCAGCCTCTGGACGAAGGGCGATCCGGCAGCGGGGGTGCCAACACCCACTTCCAGTGACCGTGTCTACGTCCCCCCCAGTTTCTGGTGATGGTGCCAGTAACAGTGCCGGGGTCCCCCAGTACCGGTGACAGTGCCCGTGGCTGCTGACAGTCCCAGGGTCCCCCTGGGGTCGATGGCACTGTCAGTCCACTTCTGGAGATGCTGACGGTCACCCCAATATCACTGACGTCATCGGGGTCACCCCATGCTGATGATGCCATTGGTTCACCTTCCCGACGATGGCATCAAGGTCCCTCCTTTCCCATGACAGCGGTGGTCACCCTGCGCCAATGGGTGGTCACCCTGCGCCAGTGACAGGGTACGGGACCCCCCCCCATTCTGACAACACCATCCGTGCCCCCATGCCGATGACACAGGGGTCACCATTTCCAGTGCTGCCACCCGGATCCCCCCGCCTCGTGCTGATGATGGCACTGCTCCCCCACATTGCCCATGATGGGACGGGGGTCCCCTGTTCCTGATGACGGTGCCGGTCACCCCACGCTGGTAACGGCGTCCGTCCCCCCATGTTTCTGACACCGTCCCGTCTCCACAGGACACCCTGGAGATCACAGGGACCTTCAAGCAGTGCAAAGGCAACCTCGTCAAAGAAGGCTTCGACCCCAACGTCATCAAAGACCCCCTCTTCTTCCGCGACGATAAGAAGAAATCTTACGTGCCCCTGAACCCCGACACCTACGCCGCCATCCTGGACATGAAGCTCAACCTGTAGAAGGAGGAGCCAAGGCCATGCCAGGGTCTCCACGACGGCCTTGGGGCGTTAATTGCCCCGGGGTGATTAGCAAGGCCAATCTGGGGCTAATCAGGCAGTTTTTGCTTCTTTCAGGGATTTTTTAATGGTGTCGGAGCACGACGAGGGTGATGGGCTGGTCTCGGCGCTCGCTATCCTGCCCCGGCACCTCCGTGCCGTGCCGGCTACGGAAATTAAAAGGCTTAATTCCAATTGGTTGGGTCCAGGCGGGTGCTGAGCCCTCGAGGGCCACTGTCTGGGGACGGACTCGCTTCTGGAAGTGGCAGATGGTGCCCCAAATCCTCCCCGCTGCCGGGAAGGGAGCACTGGCTCAGCGCTGGCCTCTTTGCTTGCCCACTGGGCCGGCCCTGGCGCCCCAGAACATTCCCATAATCCCGCCCAGGGCGTATTGAGCCACTTCAACTCCCCAGTCTGGGACAAAACCGCTTAACTTCTCCGTGACCCGACTTTCTGCCCCGTGGGTGACCTAAACCATCTCGGGAAGGCAGCCTGGGCTCCCCCAGAGAGCCCCGACCCACGCCAAGCCCCCACGAAAGCGTCAGCTTCTTCCTGCCCTTCCCGGCACCTACGGAACCGGCACGGAAGGAGCTTATTTCTCCCTGCAGCCGAATGGCTGAGCAGAACCAGCCTGGGGACGCCGTTCCGG